AGTAGGACTGTGAGACAAGTTAAAAATCTGCAATTTCAAACAATACAAAGAGCATTTTCAGAGAAAGAGAAAAACAGCTCATGGTCCAGAAATACCTGTATAATACAAAGAGCTTGTATAATGAAATACATGAGACTGAGAGCAAGTGTATAATGAATCAATACAAAGAGCATTTTCAGAGCAAGTGTATAATGAAATACCTGAGCTTGTAGCCTTGTACAACAAATGGAAAATCACTATATGTCGACAATGCAAGGCTCTCTTCCCGTATTCATAAATTCTGTATAATAAGATAGTAACACAAGAAATTAGTTTAGAAGTAATCTAAATAAACATACAAATAAAGTATACATTAAACACAAGTAATAAGATAGGCTTACCAGCTTCAAGTTGTTCAAGATTATCTAAATCTTCTTCAATTTTAATCGAAGTTGTTGATTCATTACGAAGCCAATCTTGGACACACACAAGAGCTTGAACCAATCTAGGAGTCAATGAACTCCTAAATGGATCAAGTATGCGTCCGCCGGTGCTAAAGGCTGATTCTGAGGCAACACTAGAAATCGGAATGGCTAGCACATCACGTGCCATCTCAGCAAGAGTGGGAAATCTAGGTGAGTTCAACTTCCACCACCCCAGAATGTTAAACTTTTCATGGTCTTCCTCAACATCTTCACCCAAATATTTATCTAACTCCGTTTTAGAATCAACTCCGCCACATTTCTTATGCTGCTTTAAATCTAGCATGAATTTTGAGAGCAATGATGAAGAAGATGGAGAAGATGGACCAGAAGATGGAGAAGATGGAGAAGAAGTAGATGGACATGAACCAGAACCACCATTTTTCATTGCATACACATTAAACAAAGTATCCATGTATGTTTTCACATCCTCTTGTATTTTCAAACCTACTGTTTCTCCAAACATAGAACCAAGTGCAAATGAAAGAGTATTAAACTTATGGCGTGGATCAAGCACACATGAGATAAAAATCATTTTGTTCATCTTATGTGGATCCACCCAATACTTGTCAAATTTGTCTTTCATATTCTTTGCCATTTCTCTCAAGAAAGCATCTTCATTTTGCATCAACTCTTTCAAAGAAGAATCAACAACACATATTTCAAGAAAGTGCACATTAGACGTAATATAAAGTGTACCTGATACTTTCAAGGTGAGTTCATAAAAAATTTCCAGAAACTTCACAATACGTCTTACACTATCCCAATCACTACTTAAAAGTGGACCTGCAGGTTGTCCATCCTCACAAATGCAGTTAGAAATACATGACATCAAACCATAATCAATATCACAATACTTTGTAAAGGCTTCCTCATAAACTGTAGCAACCTTCAACATCAAATATGTGGAGTTCCACCTAGTAGGAACATCCAAGCACAATGATTTTTTAGAAGTTATCCTATCAAGATCACAACANCAAAGGCTGATTCTGAGGCAACACTAGAAATCGGAATGGCTAGCACATCACATGCCATCTCAGCAAGAGTGGGAAATCTAGGTGAGTTCAACTTCCACCATCCCAGAATGTTAAACTTTTCATGGTCTTCCTCAACATCTTCACCCAAATATTTATCTAACTCCGNTAAAAAACAGAACATAAAGACAAATTGATACATACATAAAATTTGAAAAAACAATATGAACTATGAAACAATAGTAACTAATAGTGAAGAAGAAGATTACTTTACTGGCTTGGGACTTCGAGAGAACTTGGAGTTCACTACTTCACTGGCTTGATAGTTGAGACTTCGAGACCGAGAGGAACCGCCGAAGCTAAGGCGAATCACTGAACTCTGAACTCTGAAGAAGAGAGGCGGAACCGCGGAACAGTATGAACTCTGAAGAAGAGAGGCGGAACCGTGGACTGGTCAGTGGTCACTATGAACTCTGAAGAAGAGAGGCGGAAGCCGCGGAACCGTGGTCACTGGTCAGTGGTGAACGAAGGAACAGCCCTAACTCCTAAGTGAAAGAGGCGGAAAAGAAGATTTAGGGTAGGAAATAGGAATAGTATTTAGGGTAGTATAGTACTATTAGTATAGTATACTAACTTAACCGGGTTAAGTTATTTAACCCTAAAATTTTAGGGTAGTATAGTATTTAACTATTTATATATAGGCCCATATAATTTCGGATTTCGGATCGGATCGGATTAAAATCATGCCAATCCGAATCCAATCCGAAAATCCGAAATTTTATAAAACATAATCCGTATCCAATCCGAAAATCCGAAATCCGAAATCCGAAAATCCGAAATAGAGTATGTCGGATCGGATTTCGGATATCCGATCCAAATGCACAGCCCTAACACATATAAGATAAATAAAGTATGCTGGCAGCTGGTAAACAGAATAGCCAAGACGCTTAAAAGCGTACAACGAAGCCTCAGTAGATGCAAAATAGAATGTAAAATAGCAGGTAGTATTTTTATATTTTACTTTTCTCCAAGCAAAATAAATAAGCATCCTTGTATTATAACACTAATTGGATCAACTTTGCCGATAGGTATCATGCCATTGAATGGATGTTTAGATGCACCTTTTATGAGCCAAACATATCAAACATTTCCTATTGAATGCAGGATTGAAAACCGCTATAATTCATAGGCAAGCGAAAAATAATTGTGATCTTCAACAGGGAGATTCCCCAATTTATATCATTTCAAACTCAATAGAATATGAAAATATCCAAAATAATCACTGAGGTAACACTTTTAGAATTGCTATTGGACTTGCTCACCAGCTTTTGTCGTATTTGGATCCAACAAGTGACATACACCTCATCAAGTTTGGGCTAACAATCAGGACTCTAGCATAGGCACATAGAATTGACGCACAAATTTTATGGGACTTCATTCATGGTAAAACCATGTAATTGGTAAATATTGTTTACATCATCTTGAATTTGGTTATGTAAACTTGGGGAACATGGACTGCTGATCATTTAATTTGATGGCCATTGCCTCAACAAATATGCAGCTATCTAAGCCAAGATATTAACTTTCGAAATAGCGCCACTTTTAGCTATTGAAGACTCAAAAGGCATCTAACCAAGTGCTACAATAATGGCACTGCAAGTATTTCATAACAGACATCTTTAGCCATTAATGTTGGACACAACATCTGACTTGTAAAGTGGCTTATCTATCTTGCAATGAAAAGAATTAAGCACATCTATAAAGCACTGAAAAATGATGGATGTAGAGCACTCAAGTTGATCCAGAAACATCATATCCAATACTACCGAAAGATAAGACATCTAACCTGAGAGATCCAATATACTCTTTCCTTTTTCTAAATTATCCTGCGATGTAGTCGCGCAAACTTGATGGGTGGCAGCTGCTAAACAAAATAACGAAGACTTTTAAAAGCGTGCAGTAAAGCCTTAGTAGGTGCAAAATAGACTGCGGCACATATAAGATAAATAAGATATCATACTAAGTCTCCAAACAAAATACATAAGCATCGCTGTATTAATAATATATATGGTTTATAAATATGAGTGCAATAATATAACCTTTTTTCCGGAAGGGAAGGAGGTTCTTGTATGGTAAGAGCAGTTTGTTTCAAAAATCGTGCTTTGTTCCAATACTCTGGGACAGCAACAATCGGATTTTGAAGAAGGTTGTGCTTTGCAGAATCTTGTCTTCTTATACGTCGCGATAGCAACAGTGCTTCCCTTCCATGAGCAGATATTTGGCTTTGCCTATCACGCCGTTTGAGTTGCATTGCACCCTTCATTTTTTCTACGTGTGAGCACTTGTTTGGTTCTTTGAAATCCATCAGTTATGCAAGTTCAACTTTCCTTTTTACATGTAAATATTTCCATCCGAACTTGTCAATGAGATGTTTAAAAAAGGATAAATTATATTTTTAATATCGTGGAACATTCTATATATTACAGATTCTATCTATTATCCACCAAGTTAAGTTTGGTCATCGCACATAGGTTACTCAAATCAAAAGGAGCAGCCTCTTGTCCTCCCAAGTGGAGCAAGAAATTAAATTGAAAGACAAATGGTAAACGTTTAGTAAAAACTCTGACTGATTCAAGAATTTCCTTAGTAAGAGCAAACACAACTCGACAATTAAACTTCCTGTGTAGCAAAGGCCTAGAATCCCATGATGGCGGAGAGAAACACAAGATAAGAAAATCCAAACGATAAATTCACCAAAGGGTAAAGCTAACAACAAGAAGAGCAAGGAAAGATAGGGTTGTAGTCGCAGAGGAGTTTGAAGATTGCGAAACTTTTCATATGTTCCTAGATGAGCAAAAAAGAATTAAAATAGGATGTGTCTCTGTGCTGACCTCTTAACCATATTCTTCTAGGAAAAAACAATTTACTTCCAAGGCTGTAGAATTGAATTTTTAATAACAAAAATCCAGTATATCATAAAACAAAAAATTAAACAGAAAGACGGAGGAAAAGGCAACGTGAATCGAATATCACACGGAATAATCTAAAAATGTGTCACCACCCAATTGATTCATTCAAGAATTTGGACAAACACATAAAAAACAAAGTCTTAGCGTGCACTAAAAGATGAAACAGAGAAATACAAGATAAGAATAAGATAGCTTACAGGAAAACAAAGATCCGGCCGGGAAAATTCACTAAAGTATAAAGATAAGAACAGGAAAAGTGAAGAGAGAGAAGGTGAAAATGGAAATTTGCAGACGGTGGAGCTTTTCCTTTCTCATATAACTCGGTTGTTAACCTTTTGATCAGTGAACCTCCATCTGCCAAGTTTCTGAAAGACCTGTCTGCGTGGTACCGATAAGAACAAGAAGAGTGAGATGAGAGAAGCCAAAGAAGAGTCGATATAATCCAAGTGAAGCCAAAAGACAGTTGAATGGAAAGACAATTTTGCCCTCAAAGTGCCAGGCAAACATGTCGTCCAGGTGCCTGCTAACTCCCTCTTATAAGATAGGAGAATCTAGGCAAATATCAATTAATTTTACAAAAGAAAGAGAGACAGACAAACACTAGAAGAGGATATCTTACATTTTCTTATTCAAAAGATATTGTACAACTTATTGCTAAAAGGATATTGTACAACTTATTGCTTTGACTATTCCCTAAAAGAACATTCTTAAACTAACATATTTACAAAGTAGGTAAAGCACTTGAGACGGTGCCTTATACAAAGATGTGCCATCTATCTCACATGTAAACGTAAGAGAAAACACACAACAAATGATTTCCACCTACTATGCTTCTACTGGTGCATCTTCTTGTGCTCTTGGTTTTCTTCTTTAGATCTCTGCTAGGAATAAGCACAGCAACTATCTTCGAGACTGTCAAGCAGACTTCAGCCACATAGATTTAGCAGTCCAAAGATTGTTGACAATGCATATCAACTGCAGGAAAATTGAAAGGTAGAATGAAAAAGCTCTACCAAAACCAAACCTATAAGTGATCCATGCGTAAACTAGAACCTCTCATACTCGGATAGAGTACCAGATGCTGATTGAAGCTTTCTGACCTGCATGCGGCTACAGTACTAGGAGCCACTAGCCAAAAAGCAGTTACTGCTGCCTGAGCTACCCATAGCATAAGGTGTATCGCGGACAAGAAACTTGATAGTGCGGCCACCAACAAAATCCAGTATCTCAAGACACTCATGCAAATCTGCATCATTTACCAACATCACCCATTCCTCCTCATCATCAAGATACTTGAGTTGGAATGTCCCAGTCTGCAGTTTAAACCTCTTCGCAACCTCCTCATAAAGTTGGAAGCACCCTGCTGAAGGCTCAAACTTAAATCGGGTAGTATCTTCTTTGTAAGTGGCTTTCACAGTAATTGTTGACCCACTATCGCCAAAGTTTGCCTCAACTTTAGAATGCTTCCGTGCACCATGACTGCGGGAGCTTGATGAACTGCCGTTCATCATTGACTCAGACCCATTGGATGAATCTGTCATCGCTGAAGAACTGGCTTGGTTATGTTCAATGACCCCACCATCACCATCCATTTCATTATCTCCTTTAATCTTAGTGTCACCATCATCTCCAGCAGCTTTCGAATATGAGCACTGAGAAGTGAAATGACACTCAAAATTGTCCATCGTATCATTGTCCAACCCCCACCTCCTGCATCCTTCTTTTGTATGGAAAGAGCCCAGTGATGCATTTCTGGAATTAGTTAATAGCATCGTCTGACTAGCAGGTCTAGATGTCATTGCATCTAATGCTGCCAATTTGGGTTCATAACAAAATCCAGACACTGGAATACTTGACTTATTTCCTCCCTTGAAAGAGCTAGTATTGATATGATTTGATTGGCCGAGCTGGTTCCCATCAACATAAGAGTCCTCTTCCATTTTCACCATAGAGTTTTCTTTGTCAATGCCTGGTGTTGAGGGTACAGACACAGCATCCTGGAAAACAGAATTAGGATTTTTGACAGAGACATCTTTGCAGGGAAAAAATATGCTTTGCTGTGCATCAAAATCTTGGATGATAGAGCTAGCGGGAACGAGACTTCCAGTGGCTGGATCAAACTTCAATCCCCCTTCTACTCCTTGGACAGATTCAAGCACTGTTTGTATCTTTTTCAAAGAACGATTGACTTTGTTTATCTTCCGGGATGGCCATCTTGATATCCCATGTTGTCGACATATTCTTTTCAAGGTAGTTGGACACACTACAAAATACACAACAATGAACTTAAAAGACCACCTTTTGCAAGGCTATTAAATTGTGCTTTCAACTTCAAAGAAAAGCCAATATACTTTTTACTTTCCATTCCTGCTCATCCTTTTAAACTGTAATGTCTCTGCACACACTTAAGAATTTCACAAAAACACAAATACTTCACAACTCTCATTTGTACTTACCAGTTTTTTTTTTTTTTTTTGGGTTCGAATAAGCAACAAAGAGATGATATTTTTTTGGCAGATGGTAACATAATACCAAAGAGATAATATTGATGTAAAACATAATCGCATTGAGGAAATCTTGAGGCAAAAGTACATCCACAAAAGAAAGAACTTTACAGTATGTAAGAACTAAGGAAGTCAACCCAACTGAAACTAAGCAGGGATGTATATTTGAGTTTAAGATTAACTACATTGACCTTGTCATTCAATGCTTCGAGCATTTATTTTTCTCCATATAACCCACTATACAACTGCTGGAATACACTTATGTTCATGGACAAAATTGGATAAATCCAATTATTGAGGATTCAGCTTTCTTCTGCCTTCTTTTTGTTCTCCTTCATGTTATGCAGAAGTTGTCACTTAAATGAAGCAGTTACATAAAATTCCAGACAATATACAAACAATCAGCAGAAATAGCATATCCTACTTATTAGAGAAGGGTCTTGAATGGGCGAGGAAGAGGCCCAAATTCATGTTCGAAGAAAAATAGAGGGAAAGATATTCAGTAGCATTGACTGTGTTTACACTTAATCCTGCATTTGGACTAAGGATGAAATCTTCGTAAAGTTAATAGAGAATTTTTCTCAACGAACTGTTGAATCAGAAATTAACACCCAATGGGAGGAGGAACTATTCACAGCAACAAATAAAGTAATGATTTATAGGTATCCAGTATACTTGCAAATTAGTGGGGACTGATATACTTGACAGAAATATGCTTACCACCAATGCTTTTTGCAGCATCCTTCAGGCTTCCAGAGAAGTACTGTTGAAGAACACTTAAGCTAACATGTTTTTCTGCTGTACTTCGTTTTTTCTCCATCTGTCTTCTTGATCCAATCATTGCCTACAATAAGAGTTGCAAAAAAAAAAAAAAAAAAAAAAAAAAAAAAAAAAAAAAAACTTCAGTATAGATGATTTTAGAAAATAAACCAAAAACAGACTGAACACAGGTTGTTAGGGAACACATAGAACAAGTGTCAAAGTAAGAGTATGCTCAAAAGTGCAGTATGAATGTGGAGCATATCAAATGTGCTCACCTAGATCACATTAAACCAAAGCCGATTGAAATTGAATATTCAACTAAAATAATCTAGTTGGATGTAGACTTGATAAAATATTGCTAGTAAGACAATTGAGTGATATACCTGTTCACGGCAACCATCAGCTTGCATTCCAGCACTCTTTGAATCAGATACGCCTAAAGGAGCCACACTTGCAGAATTTGAATTGCTGTCTAACGAGTGCTGAGAATTCCTTCTAGACAATGTAATCGGTGGTAAATTGGGAGCAAATCCATCTTGTAATCCAAACGTAGCACCTTGTCCAACCAACTCTGCATCTGACACTGTTCTCAAACTTCTGCAGATTCGTTGCATGGTACCTGAAAGGTTATTCAAGAGAAGCTGTTGCTCGGTACTTCCCTTCATACTGATAGGAAGAAAGAACTCCAATATGTAATCGTCATTTCCGGTGAATGTACTACGTAATCTTATAGCCACAGCAGCATTTAGACCAAACTTTCGTGCATGATGAACAAGTGGGTACTCGCTTATATGGTACTCCTTCACATCAGGGTAGAAGAAGGGGTGGTTAGATTGAAGAGCTTTCCCAACAATACCTTCACCTTCCTCGAGATAATGTTCCATACATGCATGTACGAATCCTTGCATTTCCTTGTCACTCACATAACAAGCTGTATCCTCGGCGCATAACACACATTTTTCATTTGAACTTGCATTACATCCTCTAGCAAGGACTCTTATGCTTTCATCTCCTTCTCCTTCAGTGACACTACAGGGAATCCACGTCAGAGCAAGAGGCAGCTTATGCGCATGGCAAACTGCTCGCAGAACATCTGTTATCTCAGCTAAAGCAGCTCTTTGGTTCTTTGAGAGAGTCTGCAAGATGAGGAAACACAAATTATATCTAGAAAAAGGTAGTTAAAAGGTCTGATAACTGATTAGAAAAGAACTAAAATAAGAAAGAACGACACAAGTAAATAAATAAACATGATTGGAGTGCAACACGTGCAATTAACATTTTGAGTATACCTGAGAATGAAGTCGAGGAGGTGCAATACTCCTTAAATTCACAGCCTGCAGACGAGCACAAACTACAGGTTAGACCATCTTTTACCGCAAAACTAGAGATATATAAGAACACGAGCTCAAGAGGATAAAGCAAGAACAATATAAATGCAGATAAAGCGCATCTTGTGACATCATATCATAGCAGTTGTCTCAATTTTGTAACTTTTTTTTACTTACTTACTTATATACTGTCTCAATGTTTTCTGAGATGATTTTACCATAAACTTTTGACCTAGCAAAAAATATAAAAGAAATATCTGATAGATGATCAGCCAAAAAGCATATGTACTTGAAAAAAGTATAAAATAATTTATTTTGGTTGAGATAAAGTTGAAACAAGAACACCATAGTATCATATCTTTTTAATAACCGTGGTGTCTGGAACAGCTGGCAGGCACCTCAACTAATTCCACAGGATACCTACTACTCCCACCATCAACAAGTACCAAGTACCAGGTATCTTTATCCACCAAAATGGGAAAAAAACACCTAGTGTTTTTGCCTCCGCTGGGATTTGAACCTGAGACGGTTCTCAACCCACTTCATTGACCACTAGGCCACACCCTTGGATGTAATACTATAGTATCATAAAACAACCAAGCAAGTTACTCATAAAGTTGCCTGGTATGGTTTTATTCTCCTTTTTCCCTTTTTAGAGGTCCGTGGGTACCGGGCAAGGGCAATAAATGGGGGGACAAAATCCCATATTTATCATGATATACAAAAGAATAAATGACAAGCAAGTTGGTATTATCTCTTTGCTTATAAGTGATAACTTATGATCCGTAAGTGCAAATAGAATGCAATTCTGAAGAAATTACTGTTACTAAAATTCAACAAAGAAAGAATACCACATACTGTATCAAAAGATCTTAAAAGGTTTATAATTGGAAAATATATAATTAAACGAAAAACCAAATATTACTTCCTTTCTTCTTCTTTTTTTGATAACCGTGAAACCCCAAGGGCCAGTGGCGCAAAAATCGATGGACAATGGGCCCACCAATCAACCCTTCTCCACTTCAATATCAGGCTTGTGCTTGCGGTAGGGTTCGAACCCGACGTGCGCAAGAAATATTACTTCCTTGTTCTAAGCAAGGTACAAAGATTGACGAGCTAAATAAACCATGAACACAACTCCCCACCCTCCTTTTTTGATTAAAAAAAAGAAAGACATGCTTAGCATCAAGAAATAGTAAAGCAAGTAAGCAACACAATAAATTGTTCAAACCTTCAAAATAAGAGCTTTAATATCATAAATATGCTACAAAGTAACTTTTACTAATTTTTCACTCATATTTACTTTTTATTATATCATTTGAACAAAACATAAACAACAAAAACATACTCAAAACAAAAATCTACTATTTTCACTCATATTTTTCTCTCTTTTGAAAGAACTGTAAAAGATAATTTGAAACTAGTAGTATAGACTGAACCAAAAACATAAAGTACTTCAAAGCTACAATACAAGAGGGTTCATGCCTCAAAGAAAGGAAAGTACCCCCNAGAGACCTCTCGATAGCCAGAAAGTGCCTGATCAAGAAGATATGGCTGTTCACACGTGCTCAAGACATACTGATCCTTATTCTTCATTGGAATCCAAACTTGAGCCAAAATTCCCGCACCAGATGACTCTTTAAACATTGCCAACGCCCTAAGCATTCTCTCAGCAAGTGGTTGAGAAGGTGACCTTACGATCATAGAGTTGCCAATATCAGCATCATCAGCCTGCTGGCTTGAATTTTTACTTCTTTTAGCTACCAAGCCGACCCCATCAGTTGAATCTACCACAAAATGCAACTGCTCATCATTTTGCCCGAACATCATTTTCTCTCCTCCACAAACAGTACTTCCGACCATATTGGCATCCATTGGAGGAAATGTTCCAGTATTTTGTTCTGCGTAACTCAATCCTTCAAACGGTGCATAACTTTGAGACATGGAATTCATTTGCGAAAATGCTGCATAAGAGGCAAACATCTGCTCTGCTGCACTAGGGCTAGTGCACCATCCAGTGTAAGCATCAAGATTCATAATCTCCATAACATTGTTGAATGAATCATCGACATTTGAAGACCTTGCACTAGCATCAAACGAGACAACACCCTCCATTTGACCTCTCGGAGACGCCCAAAAACCAACTCCCCTTTCCATTTTAAACGAGAATAACAAAAATATCTCCAATTAAGTAACCAAATGCTAGAGAACGCTCAAATAACTCAAGCTATTACAGTCTTCTACTATTGGCATTCCCAGAATCCAATATCTGAAAATCAAGATCATCTTATTCCTCCCAAATTCACAATCCAACAACTTAAGAAACCTGCAATTATCCACATATAAATAATCTTTATTTTCCACACAAATAGTAATCTACATGCCAGACTATTTATACACCAAATTACAAGTAGAAACTAAGATGTAACTATATTCTCTTCTATCAAAAGGGTATAAACAAAGAGCAGCTTTTTGAGCAATGACCTTAGGGTCCAGAACTTCACAGAAGAGCAGACAAAAGAGCAAACTTTGTTGAAGAAAATTCCAAGAAAGTACCAATCAATCAACAAATCAAACAAAAACTCACCGAAAGCCCAAAGCAAGGCCAGAATCACACACGACTCACCCACACGTATGATATATTGGGGGAAAAGCCCTAACCCTAAGTTTGGGAAATACTAGGAGGGTATATTATGAATTATCAAATAGAACCGACTTTGATTTTGGAACTCAGCTTGTATGTGCTGACAACAAAGCAAAGCTGCTGTTACTATTCCAAACAAAAGAGCGAATTCCAAGGAAAATAGGGAGATTAAAAAGAGGGACCAGCTTTTAGGGGGGATGAGGTTAAGGTTTGGTGGGGGGGGGTCGGGGGTTCAGACTTCAGAGAGTGCTATTTTTGGAAAGTAAAGTCTTAGGGGAAGAGAAAATGGGTGGCGTAACCCTTTTCTTTAGAAGATTTTTATTAAGAGTGGTTACTAAAAATAGAAAAAGGGTGTTTTTCTGGAGCTGTTAGCGAGGGATAGATTGAACGATGTGAGGAGAGATGGCCTGGTGGTGGGGTTGGGTGCTTGGGAAAAGCGTGGGTTAATTTTTTTAAGAAGGGTAAAGGCCATTTTCCTCCTCTAATTTTGTTTTACACAATCAAATTACTCACAAACTTTAGAAAATAATCACTCTCCCCCTCTTATAGCGTCGATGTTGAAATTCTTTTCACATAATACTTTGTTGTTTACCTTGAAAATGATAATTATAATTAGATTTGATTTTGTGGTTCTAAAAATACGTAATTTGTTTTTATGCTAGATGCTAAGTGTGAAACTAGAAAATGGGATAAAAACTTTGAAAGCAGTATGTTTAAGCAAACCGAGTGGTTGAGAATCGAGGCCTCGAGCCAGATTATACGGGGCCTCGAGGTCGAGCTAGATACTAAGTTGTGGATAGCCGATGAAGGACTAACAGCTTTGAGAGCTTTGACGAAAGCTCTCTAAGATCAATAATGAGTAATAAATGAAGAACAATTAATGAAATACAATAAATGTAAGCAATAAATGTAAATAATAGAATCAAGGGAGAATGTATTTAAGTTAGAGAGCAGAGAATGTTCTTGTTCTTGTATTGAGTGTGATCAATTCATGTGTGCAAAAAATAACAAGTGTTCCCTTTATATAGGAGAGGAAATCCCAACATAGTACATGTGCATTTATTATAAAGAAATGTAGTTGGTACAGGTACTTAGCAGTCTGGTACAAATTGGGTTCACATTTAAATGTTTGTAGATATTTAATGAATTTTTAGAACACATTTATACTGTTTGGACAAAAGCTACTGGGTTTACGGGAACCCGTTTATGACATGCTAGATCTGCCCCTGTTGACCACGTACCTAGGGAATTTCCTGTTTATCCATGATAACCATCGATTTAAGCTGCCCCGAGGTCGGGCATAGAGAACCCTCGAGGTTGAAACCTCGAACCATGCCCCCGGGACTTCGAGGTGAAGCTACGAAAAGACGTAATGATCGTAAAATCGGGCTCTCCGATTTTATCCGTATACAGATAGTCCCCGCATTTCTTAGAGTAAAACGATAAGAAACGATCTCGAATTCTTGCCCCGTTGATACTTCCATTACGACGGTAGTCACGCCCTATCAAGCGATTGACATGACAAAATGAGGTGTCTAAAGGTCGCGTCCACACAGCTCTTAAAAGCCTTTGAATTAATTATAGCGGTTGACTGTTCTTTGGTTCACTCCAACGTGCATGTTAGACCTCTATAAATACTTTTCCTTTCGCCCTTTATCTTCCGTTGCATCACCAAGCCCTCAAAAGAGTTCTTCTTACCTCTCTCTTGTGTTCTCTTCTGAAACGCAATTTTCATTTCTCCTCTGAAATCTCTTAACAAAAATGGTGAAAACTTCCACCCCTGTTCCCCAGGAAGATGTGTCTTCTTCTTCCTCGCGCTCGTCTAAGGTTAAAGCAACAATGCCTCCTCGCGTCGGGGAATGTGTTCCAGGAGCCTTTGAAATGACTTCTGATTTTAAGACCGAAAAACCTTCTTCGAAGCCGGGACGATGCGAACATGTGTCCCAATATGTTAGTTCAATAGCAGATGTCGAAAGGGTGAAGGCCGACTGCCGTTGGGGGGGACGTGGTGCTTGTGGAGATTCCTTCTCGGGGAGAGGATATAATGACATACAAGACCGACTTTCTCAGTGTGTATACTTATCCATTTACCCTTGGCCCGGTGGAGCCATCCTCGCCTCCAATAGACCCCGCGATCCTCGACTTCTGCAAACGATATTGAGTAACCCTCGGCCAAATTCATTCTTCATTCTGGCGCATTATTTACATGACCAGATATTATGCGAACAAGATTAAGGGGATGCCCTTCACCCTCGACCTCCTGGTAAGAATGTATAGTCCTCGACTCTTCCGTGGGGGCCTGATTAAACTCCATTGTCGGGCCTTGAGAGCCCTTTTTGTTAGTACCGACGAGGTTAGGAACGGAGGATGGATAAGTCGTTTTATCCGAGTTAGGACTTCGGACCTGATTCCAATGGAGAGGATGTCATTCCCTGAAAGGTGGAACATGAAACGTAAGTAGATATGTTGATTAAATGTTCTCTTGTTTCTTCTTGGGTACATCTCCCCGTGAACTGACTTTCCCTGTTGATGCAGCCGTCGTGGTGTATCCTAATGCTGTTAAGGACCTCTCGGACTGGGTCAATCAGCTAGATTCGATTTGCCCATACGTTAAGAGCGTGTGGTGCGATTTGTCCTAGGCTCGATAGGAGGTCAAGGACCACGGTGAGCCTCTACTTCCGGTGTAATTGTATCTTATAGAAGAACTACTGTTGATAGTGTTCTCACTCCTTATGTTTATATTTTGCATTTGTGCAGGTCTGGGGGAGGTCCCCTTGATGAGGGAAGCACCGCTTGGTGAAACGGATACCCTGAAACCTGATGAAGAGAAGAAAAGACGAAGGAGGTCGTCGACTCATTCTCCAAAATCCAAGAAAGCCAAAGTGGAAGAACCTAAGTCCGATTCAGCAACCTTAATTCCAGAAGTTCCGGGGAGTCCTCGAGCTGAAGTCGAAAAGAAAGATGATTCCTCGAAAGCACCCACGGGGGGAGAAAGCTTGAACGCCCCATATACCATAGAGTCGATGGCCTCTAGATCAGAACTTGATTACGGTGTTGTCCTACCTCGGATTGAAGAAGCCTTCGAGGGTGCGTCAGGTGATATCCCCAAGTTATTTGTTGGCAAAAACTCTCCTCGAGTTGAGGTGCATTCGTTAGGTGGTCCGGGGGAGCTTGCTTCTGAAGCTCTCCTAAAACAAGAGACGGCCCTGATTGATTCAGTCATGATCATTGAAGTGAGTGATTCCCCTTTGGTATTGGCTTTTCCTTCGAGGAAGATGCAGGACGCCCAAAATAAAGTGTCTTCCAATATGGGGGTACCTGTTGGAGATAAGAATGTGCTTGAAAGGCTTTTCGTTACACCTGAGGAAAAGCCTGAGCTCGACGTCTCGCTTATTTCAATGAGATCAATAGGCTCTGTGAGCATGTAATCTTTTTGTAAAATTCTGCTTGGTGCCCTGATTTTTGTCTTGCTAACCTCGTTTCCTTCATGGTTTCAGGCCAAGATGCTTTACAATCAGACCTTCGCCAGGTTTCAAAGTGAGTTGACTCGTTACGAGGGTGAGCACAAGAAACTCACCTTGGAAGTTGATGAGCTCAGAGCTCTTTCTACTAAGAGGGAGGAGGAACTCCGCAACCTTCGGGATTGTTTGGAGGCGGCATCCCGAGATAGGACTCATCTTACTGAGTAGGTTATATAGTTCCTACTTGTTGTTATTTTTTTCTACATGTTTACCCGACTTTAGTGCTTTAACACCTTCGGGTCGATCTTTGCAGCTTGAGAAGAAAGATGTCCTAATGAAGGAGGAACTCCGAGCCAGGGACTCTGAAATTCTCGAACTTAAACGGCACGTGAGTGAGATAGTCTTTGAGAGAGATACCATCCAGGGGGAGGTGGCCTCAGTCGGGCATCAACTTGATGATGCAAGGGCGGAGAGTAACAAGTACAGGGATCTTCATACTGAGTTAGTTGCTGTGTTATCCAAGGTTAGGGCTGAAGCCTAGGAGTTTGTATCCTCGTACAAAGATGATGATGCTACTGCAAATGCTCAGGCCAGGAAAGTGTCCGAGGAGGCCGAGCTATGATTGACCCGAGCTATGGAGCATGCCCGTTTAGAATCTCGGAGACGGGCTCTCGAGGATATATATGTGGGGGGCATCAATTTGTCCGCCGAGATTGAGAGGGTGAAGATCCTAGAAGAGGAGGCCGAAGCCTTACTTTCCTCTAAAGACGAGTCGAGTAGTGACTCAGGAGATGATGAAGATGGAGGCGAGATCCCCGAAGGGGGAGAGGCCATTAAAAACCTGGGGGTTATGGCCGATGCTATTGAAAGCATAATTTCTGAGGGAGCCGTCAAAGGCATAGCCCCGGTGTAGATTAAGGTTTTATTTGCTTTTTTGCCCTTGTAAGGGCTTTAGACATAGGTCTTGTAAAAGTACCTTTATGAACCTTCCAACATGTATGTAAAGGCCTTTTCGTTTTTCCTTTACTTTAAATTTTGACGTTCGTCAATGATTAGCCAGGTGAATTGGGCTTCGAGGTAAAACCCTTAGGTTGATAAATCGGCCCTGAGGCTTGTTAGGCTAGCTCGTAGGCTCTTACGGATTTGCCCTTAGGCTTTTAGTTAACTGTTTCGGGCTCAGTCTTTGAGTCGAATTTTGACTCAAGCTCATTGACCCTTAAG